GACCACTACCTTCCTCCCAACTGAGCTGGGAAAACTGGGTAAAGATGAGAAAATAAGAATCAGCCTTCCTATAACAACTACCTTCATTGTAATTCTGACCAAGACATTAAAACCACATAGCCAGTAGAAAACTTTCATTATACAGTTAAAGTGTAGATATGTGCTGAAGAAGACTCCTAGAGGGTCTACGTGTGGCATTGATGGCCTGTCAGTTAGTTTGTCCACCACTTTGGTCCAGACTGAAATATCTCAACAACTATTAAATGGATGGCCAGAAATTTCAACATTCAAGGCCCCAGAGGATAAATCCTAATGATTTGATGATCTCCTGCAGACATTTAGCTCAAAGCACCACTGTGCCACAGGAAAGCCTCACAGTGCCACTAAAGGGGCTGTAGCCTTGTTAATGAATAAATACGTGTTTAAAAAATGTTTAACACTGCACAAAGAGCACACAATCAGCTATGCATAGATCAACACCTGTCAGCTATCGGGCCACAGTCGCAGCCCACATTTTCAAAGACTGACTGAGGCCATGCAAGATGTATGAGGCTGTGTTGGTGTGTGGGTGTTATGAGTGTGTCCTCCTACCATCAAAGGCTTTTGGTGGGCGCCGCAAGGCTCCACCATTAGCACAAAGAGGCAGGAACTGGCTTCCCCTCCAATTATGACTTCCCCACCTCAAAAGAGGGTCAGGTGGTCCTTTCTCAATTAGGACGGAAAGAGAAGGAGGAAAGTGGCAGGGTGGAAAGGGAAAGAGGAAGTGAGGCGAGTGCTGCCATTTGTGGAAATAAAAGGGAATTCCTGATATAGTGTTGGCTATGAATATTGAGCAGGCCTGGACCGGGAAGCCGCTCTTGGGTTTGGCTGAATAGTTAGTGTGGATGAAATGCTTTCTGGTAGGAGGAACAAATACATATTTTCATTCCAAAACTAGATATCAAACATAAGAAAAAAAAAAAAAAAGGTAAATCATCCAAAAACAGCCTGCTCTTAAACATGGTTTCTGGCATAAAATAAAACGAACTACTCAAACTCAATGCTATACATTAAAATAGCTCTTAAGCTTTATGCCATAGAACAACCTTTTTTGATGCAATGAGCACTGTACTCGATACATAAAGTTATGTGCTATAAATAACAATTTCATGATTCTCTCTTGCTGATATACAGAACTTATACGTAACTTCTGTAGTAATGTAAAAAGCTACTAAAAACTGAAAATACAAAATGTCTTATAAGGAGGTGTATTTGATTATTTTATTTTATATTGCAAATATCATCTGTGTATAAGAATAAGACTACCACAAACTAATAACTTTTATTATCCTGTTTCACTAAAATAGATATTAACAGCATATAAATAAATGCCCATGAAACTGCTTATTTTCCTAATCACCGTTCTTCATCTCTCTTTTGCTCCTTTTTTTTTTATTTCTTCTTGCTTTTCCATGCCCAACCTTTCTCCTTTTCCCATTTATATATCCCCCTACCTGCTTCTCTCCCCTTCCACCCTCCCGATCCTTCTTTTCTTTATCCTCCCATCGTTTCTTTCTCCAACCAGCTTGTTTCTATCCAATCTTCTTTCAATTCCCACTTCCATCTCCTCATGCTCGTCTCTACACTAAACCCCTCAGTGAAGACGGTCGGGCTACGGCTGTTTCAAAGCTTGCCTGCAATCTAGGTGAGTACATGAATTTCAAAGACTAATTTAAGACCAAGAACAAAGGATCAAGCTCTATAATGAGGAAATTGTTCACACCAAGAGGACATGATGATGTGCATTAACTAAAGGAAAGGCTACTGGAGTTACCTAGCAAATGCCACCTGATCAGACATCTGCTGGCTCAGAGGAAAATGAAGAGACCAAAACCTGAAAATTACATATTTGCTTTGTTTGTCTCCATATTTGTTGCAAAGTATCCACTGTTGTCATCTTCCTGCAGTGCATTTAATTTTAAAGGTTTGCTGCGGTTAAGGTTAGGATAGGAATCTGGGATGAATATTGGTCCGTACCTGTAATCAGGGACCAGTAATGCATCATAACCAAGCTGGAGCATAGAACTTCAGACAGATATATTATCATCAGGAAAATGACAGTAGAGTTCCTGTTTCACTTCATTCTTTGACAAAATGGCTGTGAAATTAAAGGGTGGCAAAGAAAAGAATATATTCTCTCTCTCCAATAAGGAGCTGCATGGCCCTAACATTTGATCTGTTCATTAGATTATGCACACTTATGTCTGTGAGTATATTACTGTACACATTCATTACATTTGAAAAGTAATGGTACTGTATATCAAACCATCTTGCTCAATATTAAACCATGTTGTTGAAGTGCACCTTAACAAAGCTTGCTGAGGCAGGCGTTAGCTAATCACACTGATCCCATCGAGTCCGGGGATTCAAATTGGCAGCCACACAGTCACAAGCCCACATCTCCATTCTCTTCATTACTCCTTAAAATAGATGCCAAGTGGTGGAAATATGAGGGTGACTCTGGAGAGTTCTACTGGTTATGAATGAAAGCTGGCTACATAAACACACACATCTCACAAAAGCAACTATACAGATATGAATGTCTACTATTTTCACCTTTATTGGGTTGGCAGCAACAACAAAACCATAGCCTTTGACAAAATTTCAAAATAAAAAAATAGATACTGTGTAATTTAACACACTCTGCCTGCTACTCAAAACATCAGCAGCCTAGTTGATTTAACACAAATGGGTGCGCCATACCTTTGTCAGAATTTGTCAGATTTTTTTGGCTGTACAGCAGATTAAAAACAGACACACACTTTATATACAGTATACTCATATACAGTATATTGTGTAAAGGTTTAAACATAACTTAATAAATAAATACATATCACTCTGTAATTAATTAAACTCTTTTTACTAAAACCCCCGATCAATGCACTTGAAAGTAAGACAACTTGTTTAAACAAGATAACAGTTTTGATTTTCTACCACTTCAGTTTGGTCAGTGTAATACAGACATATATAAACAATTTAATTTTAAATATTCATTCAGTGGCTATTGGATTTTTTTTTAAACCATGAGCCAAGACACGCATTTCACATAACCCGCTACAAAAAAGCCCACCAAAGGAATGAATATTTGTGCAACTTCTGACCAAATACTGTAATCTCCACTGGAGGACCATGGAATATTACAACTTGTACATTATATGGTAACAACTGAGCTATTTTACTTTAGGCGAATACAGATTTTTGCTTTCTCGTCTTATATGTTGTTGTTGTTTGTCACCACATTGTGAAGATAATACAGCACTAATTCAGATCCTATACATTTTTTCTCTACTACCCCACTGCACTATGCTCCAAAGAAGCACCAAAAACACAAGCTATCAAAATTTAAAAAATATTATTGTAAGTAGTATTTGACACGACTATGCTGTGGTTCCCGACTATTATTTTTCATATATGCCAGGTCATATGGCTATAGAAGGGAATTCACAAGACATAGACAAATCTGCTGTCTCTTCTTATCTTACAGATATAATGTAGACGTCAGGTAGGAGAACTTGTACCCACTTGAAGGCAGAAGTCAAATCGACTGATTAATTAATGACTTGGCCCATTCTTGGTTCAAGTGGAAACCCCTCTGAACCTATCACAAAGTCATCGAAAACTAAAGCCAATGACAAGGTACCTTCAAATGTGTACACAGTCACAAGGTATGTTCATGTAGCTGAAAAATGTTTTTAAAAGTGCAGCATGTCCATGTAACAATAATTGTTTCTCAACATCGTTTTTCACTTTTCCTACAAAATACATCTTTAGGCACGTATACAGAACAATCTGTAATGCATTAAAGCTGCATAAAGCAATATTTATTTTTCTAACATTGAAACAATTCCTGATTATGTTAAAGGGTGATGAATGCTGATGATCCCACAAAGAATCAACACCCCATACTGCCGCTTTACACAGCTGCTTTTACCTCACTGATAGTTATCTTAGTTGTCTAAACCAACAAAACCAAAACAATGCCCGCACATACAGTAAAAACCATGGGCAGCCACTACCGGAACATGATTTTTTGAAGTTGACTGTAGGCTATCTGCCTTGTGTGAAAGTGCAGAGATCCAAAGTAAATGAGTGGCTGGTAAGAAAGTAGAGAATGTAGATTTCTGTTGGTTATGTTGGTTTACAAAACCGTGGCTTAAAAACAATATTGTACTTACATTCATCAGGTGGCCAGAAAGACCCTGGAGTAAAATGCTCATGTAGCTCTGTTTCTGCTGGACGTGTAAGTAGCAAATTGCTTGCCAACATGCCACTAAAATACAATAAGCTAAAGGCTTATTATATTAGAGTCTTTCTGCCCCTAGTATTCAAAAATCACTTCATGCAGCTTTAAAATGAGGAATGATTTACACAGGGTACTGTTAAGCAGCATAGAATGCAGTTACAATATCAAGGGGCAGGGTTTGTTGTGTCACTTGGTTTCTAGCATGGACATATATACACGACAAGCAAGGCCTAAACCACAGATGACACTACTACATGAGCAAATTGGGAAATCAGTATAAGTCATTGGCTATAGTACGTGGCTTTATTCATGTGAAATGAATTATGCTTTGACACCGATCCAATGATCAAGGGAATGTACAAGATTAATTAACTGGAATGACTATACTACTGTGCTGTAGCAAAGGATGAGAATCATAACCAAAGGCAGTCTGTAGGTTCCTTAACGAAACACATCATCTGCACTGGGGAACAGTCTTCAGATTTTACCAAGCTGGAATGTGCACAGTAAAAGAACAAAATAAATATAATATTTTAGCATAATGTTAACTACACATTGCAAATTTCAGTTTCACCTATACTTTGCCCTTCCCAGTACAGTCGTCTGTTGCTTGTGC